GGCTCCTGAGTGGAGGTTTGTGGGTCGCATGGTATCAACTAACTGGTCTGCAAGTTGAGCAGCAGCTTCTATGGTGAAGGGTTCATGATCTCTTACCCAGTTCTGTACATCCTGGGTGGTGTTGGCAAAAAATTGTTCGAGTAGTATTTGCTGGAGCCCGTCTTCCAGGGTCTTTGCCTCACACACCTGGAGCCAATTTTGTGTGGCTTGGCTCATTCGGTGAGTGTCTCTTGGCCCTAGTCTGGCTTCTCTGAACTTTTGTGTCTAGGGTGATAGTGTACCATGCCAGTAGTCATCTATTTACCTCTGGGTAATCTCTCCATTCCTCTGGTATCTCCCTGTATGTCTTTGTCACTCTGCCAGTCAGATTTCCTACCAGGATGGGGATCCATTCATGGAGCTCCACCTAGTGTAGTTGGCACTGCCATTTGAAGTCCTGTAGGAACCTGTCAATGTCCCCCCATTAGGTCATCGAAGGTGTTAAAGGACTGGCGTGTGTCCTTGATGCTGCTGTGGGAGCTGGAACTTCTGCGGGGTCGCACATAATCTAGTATGCTGGCAGTAGCTGTGACTCTGCTGATGGCCAGTTTCTCGGCTCCTTCTCTCTCTGCACTGTCATGATCCGATCTACCACCTCATGGGGGGGGGGGGTTTGGGCCATAGAAGGCGAGTCGATCCCTCATCCATCTGGAGAGATCATCAGGTTCCATCTGGGGTGTCAGGAAACTGGGTGGGTTGTTGGCTGGATTAAATGATCCATCCTGTTCTAGGTTCACTAGAGCTGCAATTAGTTCAGGTTCCTTTAGTCCCGCTTGGTCTTGTCCCTTTTCCGCCATTATTTCTTATAGGGTGGCTACTGTTTATTGCCTGTAGTTCTCTGCCATCTTTGTCTCTGTTTGCTTTCCGCTGGAATTCCTTGCTGGAGTGATTTGTATGGAGGGTCCTGCTTCTGACACCAGTGTCATGGGTTTGTGAGTCTATTGCTGTTATTCCTTCAATCCTCCACTAGTCCTAATTCCAGATGTACTGAATATATTGAAAATATTCCTGTGTAGTGTTTCCCCAATATAATTGACGCAACCAGTCGTATTGGGTAAAAGCAGCAATCTGAACTTTATTAGGCCACAGGCTTTTTATGCAGTGCCCCTAGCATGGGGTTTCCAATACAAAATCACAGGGGTTTCCTTTTCACAAGCCAATGTGTTTGAGTGATAATTGAGCTCCAATTAAGCTTATCCAATTATCTCTAGGAAAACTTATATACATTTTTACATATCACAAAAACACATGACAACAGCATCGGAACCCCACAAAAATGTATATTCCTGAATAGCCCCGATCTGAGCGCACAACATATCCAAAAAGTGCTCAGATCTGTTCGGTAAAACGAAAGTTATGTTTGTGCATTTATGAACTGGCTGCCTGGTAGAGGTGGTATTGTCAATTTCAAAAGTGTTTAATTTGATTGTATGGGAGGTCAGAGCTTAAAACCTAAATTCCTCTTTGAAGCTGGGACTCCAGCAGAGCTACTCTGTAAGGTGTAAGAAGTCACACATAAGTGGCCTGGAAGTTTGGTTTCAGTATAAACTAACTCTCTCATTTGCCATATGTTAAATACAGTACTTCTAATCAGGGAAGGGCTGGCAATCGAAGCAGGGTGGTAATTAGAGCAGCCTTTCCCAAAGTGTGGGTCGCTACCCACTGGTGGGTCTTGCTGACCCACACATCCAGGGCCGCCGGCAACTCAGGAGAACGTCAGGCCCTTGGTCCATGACCGAGGGCCCGACACCAAGAGGGGTCCTAGTGGCTTGCAAGGAATGCCGCTGGGTGCAGGGCCCCTCTAAAACAGGGAGATAGTCCTGCGCACCCTCCATTCTGCAGCTCCACCTCCTCTGGGGGCAGAGCTGCAGACCATGCAGTAATTGTCAATGAGCTCAGCCATTCTTTGAGACTTCACGAGCTAGAGCTCTTGAGACTATATCTGCATGGTCTGCAGCCAGCGAAGGCGGAGTTGCTGATAGGACAGCAAGAGTCACCAGACCACCAGGGAGGAAGGAGAAGAGACCACTGGATCACTAGGGACTTCTCAAAAAGTATTTTAATAGATATCCCTCTTATCTCCTTTCCACACTGTTAACCCCCCCCAGCTTTCACCTGCACCTCCCGCCCACACTGCCACTTTTACCCTTCCACCCCCACAACTTCACGCTCACCTCCCTCCCCCACAATGTCAACTTCCCCTCCCTCCCACACTGTCGCTCTCAACTTCTCCCCCCACTGTCCTCCTTCCCACATCACCTCCTTCCCACATTGTCACCTCACCTCCCACACCGTCACCCTTTCCCCCCCACACTGTCACCCTCACCTCCCTCCCACACGGTCACCCTCACCTCCCTCCCACACGGTCACCCTTCCCCTTCCCCCACACTGTCACCTTCACCTCCCCCCCACACTGTCACCCTTTCTCCCCCCCACACTGTCACCCTCTTCTCCCCACCTCACTGTCACCCTCACTTCCCACCACATCATCAGCCTCTCCTCCCCCATACTGTCACCCTCACATACCACACACACGCACATGGTCACTCTCAGCTCCTTTTTCTGTGTGTCCTTTTGTGTCAGTGTGTGTGTTTCTGTGTGTTTGTGTGTGTTGTGTCAGTGTGTATATTGTGTCATTGTGTGTGTATCGCTGTGTTAGTCTGTGTATTGGTGTGTCTGTGTATTTGCATGCGTGTGTGTGCCTCTGTATGAGTGTGTGTATGTGTTTCAATGTGTGTTTAAGTGTAAATTAAACACATACATTCACACACATACTCCATACAAAGATATGCTTACATTCAAACACACATTATATATATTTTTATATACACACAAGGCCAGGGCCGGATTAAGAGCACAGTGGGCCTGGTGCTGACAATTATAATGGGCCTAATTACGGAATCTTATCGACCAAAAACACTAAAACAATCATACCTCCCAAGCGTCATGTATCTGATGGAGATGGTGCTGGAGGGAAACTCATAGGATGCAGTTATAAGAAAACACATACTCTATGCTAATTTCTCTCTAATTTATGCTTTCATCTTTCAAGTAAATCCATAATCCCTAACAGCATTGTACAGTGAAGCAGGAAGTCAATGGGCGGGGTAAAAGGGTGTGCCACTGGCACGAATCATGTGACAAGACCTGCCAAAAGGGGTGAACATGCCCAAAAAGGGGGCATGTTTGTCAAAGAATTGGAAGGTCAGCCTGGCATGAGTGCATGTCAGGCTGCCTGCCAATCCAGCAGGCTGTCCAACTAAGGTCATACTTCCCCAAGCACTAGTTTAAACCAGCTTTAATTATTTATTACTATTAGATTTAATCTTTAATGATATATCTTAATGTGCATTCTTTGCTGTAATTGCAATTAATTTACTTAGACTCATAACGTGTTAAATTTATGGAGTACATATTTTGTATTCTAGTAGTTCATTAAATATCAGTGGTTACTTATAATAATGTTCCCCTTAGTTTCCCTTTCAACAATCCAATACTACAGTGATATTTTAACCCCTACAATCCTTCTTCTCTGTGACAGGATCGCATTATCCCACTAAACTGATATGTTTTTTCCTTTTGGTGGGCTTCATTGATCTTTATTTCCCCTTACTTTTCCCCTATTTCTTACTGTGAAATCACATTATTTCTTTCAATCTCCCCCTTCTCTCTCTTCATTCTATCTCCTACTCCTTTCCTTAAACTCCTGGATTAAGTCATGGAACATACTTATATGATCTTCTGGTTCTTTCAATCTAGTAAGTACTGATTTTAAAATGGAATTTTCTGCCAAGAAGTTGAGAATTAGTTGTACTGTCTGATTTAGCAGATGGGGCGAATCATTTTCCTTTAGTTAGACAGGGAAAGGAATATAAAAAAAAAAGATTCATTATAGATATATAGTGGGGGAACATTGCTGCATGCGAGAAGTAACGGAAGTTTGTACATGAGGTGAGCATTAGTCAGTACTAGGTGCTGTCCAAGGTACTGACAGCGCAAACAAAAACAATTAAAGCAAATACAATAGATAAGCACCAAAATAACTTTATCTTAATGAAATGGTTTTGGTGTATAGATTGTACTAATTTAGGAGTTAAATCACTTCTTTTAATGAACCACTAGCCACACCTCCCTGGCTGTAACTCCCTGATGTCACAGTATGGTGTGTTTACTTTAGAAGTTCTTATCTCCTGCTCTGTTAATAGAACTTTTATCACACTCTGAAGGCTGTTGGCACTAGCAGGCAATCAACAGGACACATTTATTGATACATTCATATTGTGCTTAATGGGAATTTTTCTTTGGTGTATTAAAAATCATGACGTCAGACAACAAACCATGATGGTGGGACATGGGACAAAAATAGGGACTGTTTCACCAAATCTAAAAAAAAACATATCACTTATATCAATTGGAAGACCTTCAATACATTCCATTATAACTAAATTAAACTGACAGTCATAAATGAAATATAAATGCTAAATAAATGTCACTTGACACGTTCATGGTTTATGTCTTCCCATCAGTTGTACAGTCTCTGTATTTTGCAGTGGAACAATAGAGTTACTGTCTTAGGAGACATTGACACACTGTAATCTAAAAGTCACTGATTATTATTATTATTATTTTATTATTTATATAGCGCCAACAAATTCCGTAGCGCTGTACAATGGGTGGACTAACAGACACATAATTGAGATCAGACCACTGACGTACAGGAACAGAGGGGGTTGAGGGTCCTGCTCGATGAGCTTACATGCTAGAGGGAGTGGGGTATAGTGACACAAAGGGTTAAAGTAGGGGAATTAAATAGTTTGTTACAGAAGGGTTTATTGATTGCTTGGTAGGTCATTTTTGACAGGTGAAGGAACGGAGTCATGGGGTGGGGGATGAGAAACCTGCTGACAGTTTAATTGATACGCTTTAATTTAGAAGTGAGTTTTCAAAGATTTTTTGAAGGAATGGAGGCTGGGTGAAAGTCTGATTGAGGAGGGAAGGGAGTTCCACAGAATAGGTGCAGCCCTGGAGAAGTCTTGAAGGCGAGCATCAGAGGTGGGGATCCGGGCAGAGGATAGGAGTAGGTCTTGGGCTGAGCGCAGGGGTCTCGACGGGACATACTTGTGTATGAGGGAGGATAGGTATGTTGGAGCAGCATTATGTAGGGATTTGTAAGCAAGCGCCAGAATTTTGAATTGGGCCCTATAACTAACTGGAAGCCAATGCAGGGACTGACAGAGCGTGGAGGCGTGGGAGGTGCGACCGGACAGGAAAATAAGCCTCGCAGCCGTATTCATTATAGATTGCAGCGGTGCAAGCTGGGAACATGTAAGACCGGTGAGAAGGGGATTGCAATAGTCAAGGCGAGAGAGAACAACAGCATGAACCAGTACCTTAGCCGCGTCCGGCGTTAGATATGGGCGGATGCGCGCTATGTTCTTGAGTTGGAAGCGACAGGATTTGGCTATCGATTGAACATGGGGAGTAAAAGAGAGATCAGAATCAAAAAGAACTCCTAGGCAGCGAGCCTGGGAGGTAGAGGTGATAGTAGCTCCGTTGACTTGGATGGCGACAGACACAGGAGTAGCAGCACTTGAGGGAGGAAAAACTAGAAGTTCTGTTTTGGACAGGTTGAGTTTAAGGAAGTGAGCAGCCATCCAGTTGGAAATAGCAGAGAGGTAGTCAGAAACACGAGTCAGGGTGGGCGGAGAGAGATCAGGGAAGGGCAGGTAGATTTACGTGTCAACTGTATATAAATGGTATTGGACGCCAAAAGAGCTGATGAGTTTACCAAGGGAGGCAGTATAGATAGAGAACAGTAGGGGGCCGAGGACAGAACCTTGGGGGACGCCGACAGGGAGGGGTTGGGGAGAAGAGCCAGAGCCAGAGAAAGAAACACTGAAGGAGCGCTGGGAGAGGTAGGAGGAGCACCAGGAGAGAGCAGAATCCCGTAGACCAAAGTTACGGAGAATGTGAAGAAGCTGTTGATGATCAACAGTGTCAAAGGCGGCAGAAAGATCAAGGAGGATTAGGATAGAGTATTGGCCGTGAGATTTAGCAGCAATTAAATCGTTGGATACTTTGGTCACAGCAGTTTCGACAGAGTGACCAGCGCGGAATCCAGACTGAAGGGGGTCAAGCAGAGAGTTGGATTCAAGAAAGTCTGTCAATCTGGCGTAGACAACTCTCTCGAGGATCTTGGAAGCAAATGGCAGTAGCGAGATAGGGCGGTAGTTGGATGGGGAGTTGGGATCAAGGCTGGGCTTTTTCAGAATTGGGGTTACGGTTGCATGTTTGAAGGCAGAGGGAAATGTGCCAGAGGAAAGGGAGAGATTGAAAATGTTAGCGAGAGGAAGAGCAAGAGAGGGAGACAAAGTGCGGATGAGATGCGAGGGAATAGGATCGAGGGAGCAGGTGGTGGGGCGGGAGGACAGGAGCAGAGCAGAAACCTCTTGTGCTGTAGCAGGTGCAAATGAGCTTAGGATGGCAGGGGGAGTGGGGTTGGATGATGTATTGATACTGGTCAGAGAAAGATTAGAGATCTCTTTCCTGATTGTAGAGATCTTCTCAGTGAAATGAGATGCAAAGTTTGTGGCGGACAAGGTGGTGGAAGGAGGGGTAGTCACAGGGCGAAGAAGTGCATCAAAAGTGTGAAACAGGTGTTTGGGTTGGTGGGACAGTGTGCTTATGAGGGTGTTGAAGTAGCTTACTTTTGCAGAGGAAAGAGCCATGCTGTAGGAGCGCAGCATAAATTTATAGTGGACAAAGTCAGAGGCAAAGTGAGAATTTCTCCAGCAGCGTTCAGCAGTTCTGGAACATTTTTGGAGGTAACAGGTCAGCTTGGTGTGCCAGGGTTGTAGTTGGGGGCGCTTGCTGCGTTTAACTGTAGGAGGTGCCATGATGTCAAGTTGAGAGGAGAGAGTGGAGTTGTAGAGTGAGGTTGCAGAGTTAGGGTAGTTGTGATTTGAGATGGGTAAAAGGAGTGTTTGGAGTTTAGTGGAGAAGTGCTGGAGATCGAGAGAGTTGAGGTTTCTGCGAGGTTGGAGAGTGGACGGTGGTGAGATTTTGGTATGGGGTATGCAGATGTTAAATGTTAGCAGATGGTGGTCAGACAAAGGAAATGGAGCAGTGGCGAGATCAGAGGTGGTACAGAGATTGGTGAAGATGAGGTCAAGAGTGTTTCCTGCAGTATGAGTTGCTGAGGAAGAAATCTGTGTGAGTCCAAAGGAGGAGGTTACAGAGAGCAGACGAGGGGCATCAGGGCAATTGAGCTTGTTGATAGGGATATTGAAGTCCCCAAGTATGAGAGAGGGAGTGCTAGAGGAAAGAAAGTGGGGTAACCAGGAGGAAAAGTGTTCAATGAATAGTTTAGGGTGACCGGGGGGGGGCGATAGATGATGGCAATTCTTAAAGGAGTGGGCTTAAAAAGGCGTACGGTGTGAACTTCAAAGGAAGTAAAGGATAGGGCAGGGGCAGGGAGGATAGGTTGAAAGGTACATTGAGGGGAGAGAAGGATGCCTACACCACCTCCTTTACAGTCAAGTCTAGGAGTATGGGAGAACTGTAGACCACCGAAACATAAAGAAGCAGGAGTAGCGGTATCGGATGGAGATAGCCAGGTCTCAGTGAGTGCCAGTATTGTGAGAGAGTTAGAGATGAGGAGGTCATGTATAGCTGTAGATTTGATATTACTACAAATGGAGCGAGCATTCCAGAGTGCACACTGAATTTTGGTAGAGGAGGATAGACTGCAGGGTATTTGGAGGAGGTTTGCATGGTTTCTGGTTATTTTAGTGTGAGCAGATGAGGTGAGGGGCCCTGGGTTGGGAGAGACGTCACCAGCTGCCAGAAGTAGGAGGAGAGATAGAGACAGGAGGTGTGAGTGGGTTTTATATGGGCGGCGACTAGGGTGAGATTGGGTTAGAGCAGGAGAGAGAGAATAGAGAAATGAGTGCAGGGCTTGAGATGAGAGAAGGGGGAGTGTAGCAGAGAGGGATTAATGTAAATGTTAGTGTTTTGTTGAGGGAAGTGGGTGGAAGGGGATATTTTGATCCTTAGGGAGATGAGAGAGAAGGAGAGGAGGAGAATATAGAGCATTGCTCTGATGGGTAGGTAATTAGAGGGAAGGAGAATGAGCATAAGGGAGGAGAAGGAGTGAGTGTAATTTGTGGCCTCCTGTTTCAAGCTCCCTTTTTCTACAACTATATATTTATATGTATATGTCTATAAAAATGAAAGTCTTGATACCCTGGTGAAAACATATTATAACATATTTATGAATTTAAGCCTGCTCCCCTGCAACAGGCTATGGTCAGTCCCAGTCATTTATCAAATGTCACCATACAATTCAACCATGCAGGCAATTACCTGCTTTCAAGGCAGCGCAGCATAATCAAAGTATCTTGCTGCTTCCAATACAGCTGCTTACATACTGTTCTCAAATAAGCCTTCGTAAAAGTGACAATTTATTTTTATCTGCTGGATTTCCCTGCTGTGTGTTAATGCACATATTTCCCTAGCAAATTCCCCAACATGCTCTTTTAGATATGTAATTGACCGCAAGGTTCCCTGCTGATTTTGAGCTACAAGAGATACAAGACTAGAAAATTGCCACGTGGCTATGTACAAAATGTTCAAATAGCCATTCATTTGTAGAGGTTCGTGCCACGAGTTTTCCAACTTTAGTCCATCCTCAATCTAAAGAAAATTAGCAGAATAATAGCAGCTGAATAAATCAGCAATATTTTCATATCTAAATAAAAAGAGCCCACAATCAAGAAAAAAAGTGAATTGTGAACTTGCATAGATAACGTGTGATCATTCTGTTTGTATTGTTATAAAGCTTAATTGCTAAACATGACAAACGGTTCCTCACTAATACCCACAGATATATCTTTTTTTTACCATTTTTGTCACACCTAATTTATTTATTTATTTGTTAGCAGCAGTCTTTGCACAAAAATTCAGTGTTATACTTCACTTATGTGCAAGCTAGACATTCCATCTTTCATACGAATGAATAACTAGTATTTTTTTAAAAACACGTTTTTGGTCATGATATGACTTATAGAGCTGCCATGGACTTGAAGTCTTATACTGTGTGATTCCAATGAGATTTATTTTTACTCTCATTATTAAAGGGACACTTTTGGGTGGGTATAGTGCCTATGGGTAGGGCCAGTGGTACAAATCATGTCACTGGCCCATGCCCTTATTACCCCTCCCACCAGTATCACTCTTTGGGAGGTATGCTAAAGCATTTTAACCCACTGAAGGGCTTTCTGTGTGAAGAGTGTGTCCTCTCTTTTTTTCATTGTACAAAAAGTGTAGATTACAATATAAAATGGCACATTTATAAATTAACCTTGTTGTTACACACCCTGTCTGTCAATCAGAGAACCTGCCTTGTAAAGACTTTTCAGTGAGTTCAATTAGGAAGTCTGGAATTGACTGCCACACAAAGTCTGGGTACTTGCAATGGCTGCAGACAAGCACCTTTTGAATTTACATATTCCATCAGAGAAAAACTGCACAACTAAATGCATGTATGTTTTTATTGAGGATATATAATAAATAGTTATTTTTAATGCTGTATTTGGGCAGTGGAGTGTCCATTTAAGAGCACTCAACTCTCACACTGGTTGAAGTGTTTATATTGCTTGGGTTGTTTTTTTCTGTTTTTCTTGGATTAAAAAATAAATATTACACAGTGTGAGTGATTCTGTGCAATACAGGGCCCTGATCTCAGGACAGTGCCACAACATTGTTATCCTAGCCAACATAAAAGTATTGGGAGGTGCACTCCCAAGACTGTGTCTGCTATTTCCTAGAATCCATTAATGATATGCTGGGTAAATGTTCAGGAAAATGTCCCCAATCAGCATATTGCTCATGTATCAGAAGACAAACTCTCGATAGGCAAAATGCTGCCTGGCACATGCTCACAGCACTTCAAAAGATCTGTACGTATGAGCTGTCCTGATTGGGATCATCCAGACAGCTAGTCACTTTGCCTGACGTGCCTCTTCTCTTCATGATACTACATACTCTCCAGATGGAACCACTCACAAGCCCCATAGTCCTGTCCATACCCTGTCCTGATTTTATACCTCCCAATGTTGCATGGTATGCCTTTGGGCTGCTGCAATGTGTGTATGTATGTATATATATTGTTACAGATGTGTATACATTACTACAATG